GTAGGGGGAAGTAGGGAATGTTTTGAATTTAATTGTTTTAAGAAAAAAATTCAGGCTAATTTATAGCCATCGCTCCGGGAGGGGAATATCTGAGAGCTAATATGTTCCACCATAGTCTAGTATTCGTCACTTTGAAGCAGAGATGAGGCACTGGTAGCATATACAGAGACCATTAATGTAGTGTTTTTTACTTGAACATAGTAATTTTGAAATGAGAGGTGATAGTGGATTTTTATAATTAACTCAGCTTTTATGATTTTATGATAAAAAATATGAAAATCTAGGGTGATAACCATTCGATATAAAGGGCTATTGGAAAATTATATAAACAAACGCTTGAACCCTACACACGGTTTAAAGGAAATGTTGTGCACATGGATTAAAGATTTAGAATCGATACGCTTCTATAGCAGTTGAACGGAATGTAGCAGCGAAGGTGAAGGAAATTCTTCGTACTGCTGCCGGAGGTGATCTCAACTCAGCTTTGAGTAGTTATGATCAATTTAGGTCAGCATTGAAATTTGCTTCTTGTTTTTCTCAGTTGTTGTTATCTCTAATTAAGAGAAACGAATGATGTACCAGACTGGGGAGTTGTGAAACTGTCCAGTATATTGCTGGCCAATGGTCGAGAGAAGGAGTCAGAAAATTTGTTGCGACAACATTATCAAGAATATGGAGGAGAGCATCGTTTTGGTCGGTTCTATATCGAGGTTGCTTCTTCAATAGTTCTGATGGAGAAGCAACATCGATAGTTACTGCAGAACTTCTGTCTAAACATATTTTTGGATTGTTTAGCGCGGAAGTCACTTATCCAAGAGGAGCAAGTAGCAGCTGCTCTGCTGCGGGTAATAAACTCATCAAAGGACAGTGCTATTCACAATGCTCACCAGTTGTATAGATGGTTACTGGAGGGGAAGTACTGCGTGAATAAGGACATCTTCATTATTCTCTTCATTGAAAAAGCTTTGGAGAGGCGAGTTAGATTTTGTAAATAGATTTTCTGCTTATATAGTGGGGATTGGTTATGAAATTGGAGCTACTCAGGAACAATTCAAAAAATGGTTTTTTTACGGACGCTTACGTATCATTTTCGCAAGGCAAATGGGCCTTTGGGTAACCTTACCTCCATAATTTAGCTCAGTATCAATCCTCTGGTAAACTTAGTCAGTCACTGATCGAAGTGTCCTTCGATCATTCTCGTACCTGGCTGGAAGGAGTTAACATGGACCTTATACTTCAGAGAAAATTGGACGTAAGGAATGTTGATGCAATGGGCTTTATGAGCAAAGATGTTATATGGCGCATATGCTGTGTGCAGTCAGGAAGATGTGTGGTTGATTAGCATTTCTTTGATTAAACTGTCCCCTCACTGCACAGCTCGTAGCGGGCGGTGCGCATACAGCTTAGTTGGCCGGGATATGCGTCTATCATAGGCTCCCCATTTTGAATCTCCTGGTAGTTAGTGAAGGCCAGAGTTTTGGATAAATGGTAAGTAATCTAAACTATTTTATAACAAACTAAAAGAAGTGTTTTTGCGATCCGAAAACAGAAATGCAAGCTTGACAGTATT